TGTAACAGCGCAATACAAAGTATAAATCTTATTGTTTATATACTATTTATTACAAAATATTAATCATTAATTTGGTTATTATCTAAACTATTATATAAGAAGTAAATTTGCTTAATTAAACAATTTCATATACAATTTAGTATTTAATAAAAACGAATTTATATTAATAATATTATATTTTAGAAAAAAATATATTGATTATTTTGTATTAAATTGCTACCTTAAAAATACATTTTTATATTATAAAATTCAAGTAAATTTACTGATTGATATATATCTCTTATATATTAATTGCGAAGCATTACAACATGATTTCGTAGCCATGTGTCATCATGAGCATGCTTCTCAAATTTATTAGAAAAAAATGTTAGTCCTTATAAACATATAATATATTTTTTATTAAACTAAGCATAAAATTATTATTAATAGTAATCATTATTTCCTTAAATAAAATTTACGGAATTACCTAATATGATTATAATATATATATATATAAATTAATGATTTAAATATGAAAGATTTGATAAAAAATTGTATAGCCCTAACTCTTTTTGTTAAATTTATATTGTGAAAATAAATTAAATAGTAAAATTAAATATATAACAAAAAATAGATTTTTTATATATGTTATATTTTGATTTTTAAAAACGACAATAACTTAATAAAAAATTTAAAAATTTCACATATAATATTTTTGATTGATAGTTTATTTTTATTGTTATAGCACGATACAAACAATTATATAATTAATGAGTAAGAAAAACATTAATAGATATTTGAATTAGATGTATATATATATACACATTTTTTTAGTGATGTTTAAATTAAACTAAATACAATTTGAATATACATAAATATTTAATTCCAAAACTGCATTGAACAAGTATTGAGAACTTAATACTTTAATGACAAACTTTGATTTTTTTTTTAAAACGTTGAAATTACTGTAAATATTAAATCTTTCACATTAAAAATGATGTTATCAATATTTTAAAGTTTTTATTATAAAATATACAAATGATCATAAAACCATGTAAGTGTGAAATTTTATTTATTAGATATCTAAATTAAAAGTATAATATATATATATATATATATATATGTATGTTAATATCATTTCTTAATTAGATTTGCTAATTATATAAAGTGATTTTAAATAAACAAATATGATTATTTTATTTAAGCGCTCGTTAAATTAATTATATATATATAATAGTTACAAGTTTTTTAATTATTCAATATATATTTATTATTTTATAATATATAAAAGAACACAAAATAAAGAATAAGATATAAGAAGTAAATTTGCTTTGTTGTCAACTTCTCCTTGATTTTAGGTAAATTTATTTATTTATCTTATTTAAATAATTTCATATACAATTTATTCTTTAACAAAAAAAGAATTTATATTAATAATACTATATTTTAGAAAATATGTTGATTATTTTGTATTAAATAGTTATCTTAAAAATATATTTTCTATTATAAAATTCAAGTGAATTTACTGATTGATTTGTAACTTCTCCATGATTTTTGTAATTTTGCATATTTGTTATATTTTAATAATTTTATGAATAATTTATCATATAATAAAACGAATTTTTATTAATACTATTCTTTTATCATAAAAATTAAAAATTAAGTTAAAATATTAATAGTTAAATATAAAGAAAGCAATGTTGATTTATTGGCTTCTCCATGATTTTATATTTTGATTATTTATCATATTTTAATAATTTCATATATAATGTATTAAATAATAAAACGAAAGTATACTAATAATACTAGATTTAAAAAAATAAGACAATGCTTATGTATTAGATTGTTATCTTGAACATATATTTTCTATTAGAAAATTTAAGTGAATTAACTGATTTGTAATTTCTCCGTGATTTAGATAATTCTGATTATTTGTCATATTTTTAATAATTTCATATAAAATTTATTATAAAATATAAACGAATTTCTATTAAAAACTATATTTTTAGAAAGTAAGATACTTCTTATGTATTATATTGTTATCTTGATAATATATATTTTATTATAGAAATAAAAAATTAAGATAGAATAATTAAAATAAATTAAAGCAACACATTTGTAATAATATATTTTAAAAATATTTTGTTATGTGAGTGTTGTCATTTATAATTAATTTTAAAACATAAATCATAACTTATTATATTGGTTTGAATTAATAAAATATGGACTAATAATAAATTGTATGAAAATTATGCCCGCATGTGCGGGCAAAACACCTAGTAAGCTATTAAAAAGTATTATGAAATCACACTAAATTTATTAAAACCACTTTAATTTTTAATAAATGTTATGATAGATTAATATTTATAATATTGAAAAACTAAGTTATACTGTAATTTTAATGCATAAATTTCATTATTTAAAATTATTAGTATTTATTTAAAAAGTTAAATTTATTATCTTATTAATAATATGAAAATGTTAATTTGTAAATAATCTACCAAATACTCCTTTTTGCTTGACGGAATTTCTTTGTATTTATCAGTGGAACGAAGATTAACATTTTTTGCGTTTTTATTCTATTCCGTATTTTTTTCTTCATTGATAAATATTTGTAGAATCATGTTTTAGATGCAATTTCATTACTCTGAAGGTTATTAATGAGTGTCACTGTTACAATATATATGAGCTATGTCAAACCATCGGTCACTTTCTGCATTAATAACAAATCATTACAACTCACGTATAATTCTTCTTATTATAAGTGTCACTTTAACTTTATTCACACAGATTAAAAATAATTAATTTTACATATTTTCTATATATAAAACACAATTACCTATACATCTAACCATATTTCAATCAATAGAAAAATAAACTACATAATAAAATTAATAAATTTTGCATTGAAACCGAAAATGACCCTTGTTTAGTAACAAAAAATTATATATTGTAACACTTAATATGAAACGGAGAGAGTACTATCTAACTATGTTAGTGGCATTGAGCCAGACCTCTGCCTTTTATTTTATGTTTTCCGGGTTAAGTTAGTTTAAGAAAAAAAAGTTGTAAACTCAAATCGAATTGTACATATTCTTTTTCTTTCACTTCATTCTTATCTAGTTTCATTCTTCGGTGACTCACATCTGCTCATTTTACTGCTGGCCGCCTCGTCGTTTCCTTTCTCATTTTTCATGTCCCTCTCTTCTTGTCCCTACTCTCTTCGGTGTACCCAATATGATATGGAGATATATGTGGACATCCCACAATTTTCACCATTGCTGAGATCTATTATTTTGGTCATCCTTAAGGCTGCTAGAGTAGCGGCAAGGTCACCACCTGAGCAGTGGAGCCAATGTGCTAGGAGGAGTTGCTTCGTGTAGGGTTACTAGATCTGGATCAGATCTAGTGGATTTAGGGACTTTGTGTGGTTTGGGGCTTCACCGGAGGTGTAAGGACTTTCACAGATTAAACCTTTTCTCATCTCTCTTCATCTTCCTTCTCTGTTGCTTTCTTCTATTTTTTTGTGTTGTAGACCCTCTTTTTATAGTATGAGGCAGTCACTAGATTTTCTGATCACTCAGGTTTTATTCCAATAAACTAATAGTAAATGCACAAATAAAGTACACGATTGTAGTATGGGATCTCTACCATAAGGACAAGATACATACTTCAATTCTCAGTTCAAATTAGGAAACAAGACATAATAATAATGTTCTCGAAAGCAACTAAATAATGAGTAAATTAAAATGATTATACTATGAAAGAAAAACGCCAGGAATTAGGGATTTGAAGGAAATCAGATCATGAATCACACATTTTTTCAGAGAATTAATGAAGAACCTTTCTTGAACTTATAACATAATTTTACAGTCTTACCAATGTTGTGGCTCAAACATGCATTTAGTTATGATAAGTTCACAAAGCGCTTTAGCAACAACTTCCGGTTAAGGACATTTTGTTCACAATAAATTTGGTTCAGGCAATTAGCAATTTCTAATCAATATAAGATCAATGAACTAAATGGTCAATCAAGTTCAAGCCTACAGAATAATACAAGTGAAGAACTCTAATGAAAATTTCTAATCTATCAATGCTAAACAATAAGTCTTTCCACTGAACCTTAAAATTTAACATTAAAGCTACTTAGACATGAAACCGAAACACAAATCAATGAAGAAGACATAACTAGATTCAAAAGAGAAGAAAATTGGGTGCAAAAAGAATCTCACATCTCTAAATAGCTCTAAAACCTAAAAGTATGATATAAAATAAAGTTTTGCATAAAATATGGCTCAAAACAGTATATATATGACAAAACGTTTTATGGTGGAATTTTAGGCAAAAACAAACATGATTTTGTTTTTCTTGTCTTTAACCGTTAGACAGACCAGTCTTCAGTAAAACAAATATAACTTTTAATCTAACCGATGGATCAACCTCAAACCGACTGCATTAGAAAGATAATTCAATTATCAATCGTGTTTAAAATGTGGGCTTCACCAATCCGTGGCAAATCCTCCATCCACTCCCAAACATTTAATGCATCTGCAGAGTTTTATAAATCTTCAATTTCCTTTCCTCCTTTTAAAAGCCATCTATTCGTACATCCATTCACCATATTCATTATTTTTTTCTTGAGAAATTCAAAGAGTTAACATTTGGTTCTGCTAATGTGTTTTGGAATTCCGAAGTATGTTGTCTTTCCTCCTTCATTATGGATTATTCCAAGTGTATTTTTAATATGCTCTCTAACATCTGATGCTTATCTATATTTCCTGAATATTTTCATTTCTTAAAAAAAAATGAAATGAGACATGCAAAAAAATAAGGAGAAAATAAACATAATTAAAAGTATAAAGAATAACTTATCAAAAATTTGTATTATATGCACTAATAAGTAAATAGAAGATGATTATATTGTGTATTTGTGTTTTTTGTTTGTATATTTAGCCTAATTTCCCTAGATTTTATAGATGTTAATGATTTGCATTCAAAAATGTCAAAGAAAAAACAACTTCCGAGGATAAGAAATGAATAGGGCCTAAACGAAATCCGTTTATGGCCTCACTAAAAATGAAAAGAGGAGGGAAACGATGGATAAGTAATTATGGGCCTATAAAACGAAACAAACGCGTATATAACTAACAGTTGGCCTCATTGGTCAGCCCAAAATAAAGAGATGTCGATTTCTCTTTCGTTCACCCCTTCTCTCAGCCTCCCTCAACCACCAAGCCTTAGCCGTAACGCCACCGTTCCTAGAAGATGGTTGTCTTCCATCCGATGCGGCCCACGCGACAACCGTGGACCTCTTCTCAAAGGTCGGATCCTGAGCTCTGAAGCCATCCAATCGATCCAGTCCCTCAAGCGAGCACATCGCACCGGCTCCATCTCCCTTAGCCTCCCTCCTCTCCGCCGTCTCCTGAAAGCTGACCTCCTTTCCGTCATCCGTGAGCTTCTCAGGCAAGACCACTGCTCCCTCGCTGTCCACGCTCTCTCCACCCTCCGTTCCGAGTATCCTCCTCTGGACCTCACTCTCTACGCCGACGTCGTCAACGCCCTCGCTAGAAACGGAGAGAGGGAGGAGATAGACAGGCTCATCGGCGAAATTGAGGGGATTGAGGGAGGTTACGAGAACGACAAGGCTTTGGCGAAGCTGATAAGGGCGGTGATGGGAGCGGAGAGGAGGGGGGCGGCGGTGAGGATATACGCGATGATGAGAGAGGGAGGGTGGGGGTCGGAGTCGTGGGAAGCTGACGAGTATGTTGCTGAGGTTTTGAGTAAGGGACTGAGGAGGCTAGGGGAGGAAGAACTTGCTGCTGAGGTGGCATCCACTCAAAGGTATTTTTCTATTCCTTCATTGCTTAACTGTTAAAACCCAAATTGGCATTGTGACACTAAAGGTTAGAGTTTTGGGTTCTTTTTGAAATGGAACAGAGTAAGGATACGTACATGAGGGACTGTCTTCAACTTCTTCTTCTTCTAGTGGGGCTTTGTTACCACTAATTTCACCTAGCTGCCTCCCAAAGTGTTGATAAATTCTGGCTAATTCCTCTGTATGTTTCCATGTTTCTTCCACCAATTTCTCCTCGGTTAAGTTATTTCTATTTGTTAATAATGTAGCAGAGTCTTGGGTTAAAGACCTTTTGTTTTCTTGTGTCATTACTATGTTTAAGCAATTGAATCGTTTTGTCGACCCAAATATATGTAGTGGATTTTTGGGCTAAGTTTGCAAGCATACCCTATAGGAAATACCCAAGTGAATATACAATAATGATAATAATTTTGGATTTGGACTTTCTCTTAATAAATACTCTTTGAAAACTTTAATATTTAGTTTATTATAAATTAGATATGGATCTGTGAGTTGCACGGGTTTTGATTAATGTTTTAATTTAATAAAAACTTAAAAATGAAAATTTTTTTTATTGAAATCATTGTATATGGTGTGGAATTCATTTTAGGACCAAAATTTGTTTGTTCACTTAAGTTTTGGTTAGACTTCTATTTCAATAATCATGGCACACATACATAGGGCTGGAAAAATAAAGTGAGATCGAAAAGTTCAAATTAAACCAAATCTAAAAGAATGTAAATTAGAGAGAAATACGAAGAATTTGAAAGGTGAATCAAGCCAACCGAGTATATAATATTGGCATACACTTTATTAAACTCTTAATTTTGTATTTATTAACTTGCTTTGTTATTCTTCTTATAATTTGAAATATTAATTGTAATTTAGTAATGCTTGTGTTGTCATTGTAAGGTCTCAGATTTTTTGAACATTTATCATTTATATAATTTGGTTTGCTTGGTTTATTTTTATTTAAAATATCTCCAATCAAGCTGTAATGTTTTCATAAAATAGATATACTATTATGTAGGTGAATTGTTCCAGTGTATTCATCTGTTATATAATTTCACTATTTTTAGAGAAAAATGTAATGGAATGATTTTTTTTCATCTCTATATTTAAAAACTAAAATAACACATCTCTATATTTTTCTCTAAATACAGAGGAACTCTACTACATAATCATACATTAAAGTAAATCCACTTCTGTAATATAATTTCTCTATTTTAGAACAAAATTTATCCTGCTTTGATTCTTGTAGTCACAAAAATATATGTGCTTCGTAAAAATCTGTTTATGAATCTTGATTGTGTGAATAATTAGTACATGTTCTAATAGACATGAAGAAACAAACAATCATTAAGAAGATTTTTAAAAAAATTCATTTCAAATATATGATATTCAGTATCAGGTATATAATTTAAACTCTTGTTTCTCCCTGTTAATTGCCGCATTGCTAGACGAAATCCGACGCCAATTTCAAGTCTTTTCTTACTTTGAATCTTCAGCTATGGTAACAAAACTTTCCAGAAAAGAAATATGCATATAATCTTAAGTTATAATTTTCTACATGAAACAAATTAATTTCATAATTTATGCATAAAACCCTTTTAATAAAATAAGAAAAGAAACTAAATATTTATCTTTACGTCAATTAAGAGAAAATTCATTCCTATTTGTTCTTTATTATTTTTTCAAATTACTTACTTCTCACTTTTTGGTAACAATTGTTGGGGTCAAAATCGGTACGACGGAATCAATAGCCAAAACTCCCCGCAAAAATACAAAAGGAATAGTTTTATAAAACTCGAGAAGTCGTTTTATAAAACTCGAAGTCATTTATAAAACTCGCAGATCGTTTTATAAAACTCGAGAAGCCGTTTTATAAAACTCGAAGATCGTTTTATAAAACTCGAAGATCGTTTTATTAAACTCAAAAAGCCGTTTTATAAAACTCGAAGATCGTTTTATAAAACTCGAAAAGCCGTTTTATAAAACTCGAAGATCGTTTTATAAAACTCGAAGATCGTTTTGTAAAACTCGAGAAGCCGTTTTATAAAACTCGAAGATCCTTTTATAAAACTCGAAGATCGTTTTATAAAACTCGAAAAGCCGTTTTATAAAACTCGAAGATCGTTTTATAAAACTCAAAGATCGTTTTATAAAACTCAACGATCATTTTATAAAACTCGAAAAGCCCGTTTTATAAAACTCGAAGATCGTTTTATAAAACTCGAAGATCGTTTTATAAAAAACTCGAAAAGCCGTTTTATAAAACTCGAAGATCGTTTTATAAAACTCGAAGATCGTTTTATAAAAATCGAAAAGTCGTTTTATAAAACTCGAAGATCGTTTTATAAAACTCGAAAAGCCGTTTTATAAAACTCGAGAAATCGTTTTACAAAACCGCAAAAACCGAAACAGCCACGAAGCGCGAACTAGAGGCTCACCAACTAGTTCGCTTGCTGGCGAACTAGACGGTCCCGGACTAGTTCGCCTGCTGGCGAACTAAGCCAACCCGGCTTAGTTCGCCAGCAGGCGAACTAGGACCTCCTCGGCTAGTTCGCCTGCTGGCAAACTAAGCCGGCCCGGCTTAGTTCGCCAGCAGGCGAACTAGAGATCTCCCTGATCTCCCGCGGCCCCGATTCGAACCTTACGTCCTTCGACACAGTCACATTCTGAACCACGGCCAAAATGTCTCTCGTTTCGTCTCGATCCGACTTATCGTTTGAATTCTACGATAAAAACCGTAAGACTCCGTTTTCCCGAAAAGAACTCGAAGAAATCGTATAAAACGGTAACGGTCGAGTAAAACACCAAACATCGCCTAAACTATACGATTTATTTGAGATTTTTCGTTAAGATTATAAAAAACGGTCGAGAAAATCGTTGAAAACGGCACCGGATCAGGAAACGGTCTCGTATAAAGCCGTAAAACGGTTTTTATCGTAAAACGGCCCAAAAGGTCCTAAACACGATAAAAACCCATCTCGCGACATTAACGAAATCAAACCCGAAGATACGATAATGCTTTGACGGTTTACTCGCAGACGGAAGATAAAAGGCAAGTTTGAAGATAAATAGAAGATTTCCGCGGAAGAAAAGGAAGGATCGACAGATATGGAAAGTTCCTGATATATTCGGTTTCGGGTGAAATGGAAAGACTAAAACCGCCTAAGGAGAAGTATATAAGGAGGAGGCATAGGGCAGAAGCACATACACGATTTTCAGAGCTCTCACCACCAAAATTAGCATTTAGGAATATTTTCGTTTTCTGTTAGCGAGCTGCGTCTCAATTAGGGTTTTTCGTTCTTAAGTTTTCGGCTACTCTTTTTGTACCAGTTCTTACGCAGATTCGGAATAAGAACCTCTTTGCTCTCAATTTCGTTTATTCTTTTAAAAATTCTAAGTTTATCGTTTTCTTAATCTTCGTTATGCGGTTCTGCAGATAGCCGGTTCCTCTGGAAACTTAGGGTTTTCCCAAAGTTTCCTTTTTACGATTTATTGACAGTAGGTGGATTTCGGTTCCCACAGTTTGGCGCTAGAAGGAGGGGGGGTCGGATCTATCTTACACCGAAGCCGCAACATGTCCAACGAAGAAACGATGACTGGTGACAACCAAACTCGCAACGAACGCGATAACGTTGAAATAACACCACCACAAGGTGCGTCCGCGGCCAACACTACAAACGCTAACGCCGAGGCCATCAAAAAGATGCTTTCCGAGTTTAAGAAAAAATCGGAAGAGCAGGAAAAGCTCATTGGTTCGCTCGCGAAACGGGTAGAAACTCTAACCGCGAAAACCCGAGCAATTCGCCCCCGCGGAACTACTAAGATCCGCGGAAGGAGGCTCGACTTTGGCGCTCCTACGGATCGTCCCAGAACCGAGCAGGGTAACTTACCGGAAAAGGATTCCGGAAAAGACAATCCTGACGCGACGCTGAACGAATCGGAGAAACCTCCTACTCACGAACAGGAAACCGAGGGCGACGGCATCGAAAGGGTTAACCTGGAGACAAGCGACCATGCCGATTCGTCGGACGAAGACGCTAACGTCCATCCTAGGAGAAGAAAGACTCGAAGTCCGCTGCCGGAGTCTTCTCCCGAACGTTCTTTTACTGGAGACGTGGGGGAACTCGACTTCGTGCGATACGCAAAAACCACCGAGGAGTGATCTCCCGTCACTCGTGGAAAACGCCGACAAGGTCGGAAAACTGCTGGCGGTCTGACCGAGATTCGCGATCTCCGCGAATATATCACCAAAACGGCCGCAGCGGTAAAAGCGGTAAAATCTCAGATTCACCACGCTACCAGCGCCGCACCTGAAATCGATCGACTACTGTACAAATCTCGGAAGACGCCCTTCACGGCTCGCATCACCGAGATCAAACTGCCTGATTCCAGAAAACTTAAGGTGCCGACTTACGACGGGACATCCGATCCCAAAGCGCACCTACAAGCATTCCAGATCACCATGGGACGAGCCAAGCTCAAGGACCACGAAAAAGACGCAGGCTACTGCCGCCTCTTCGTCGAAAACCTAGAAGGAGCAGCGCTCGAATGGTTCGCCAAACTTAGGCGAAATTCGATCGGAAGTTTCCGTCGACTGGCTTCGGAATTCCTGAAGCAGTACTCGATGTTCATTAACCCGGAAACCTCCGATGCCGACCTCTAGAGCTTGGTGCAGAAGGAGGACGAATCTCTCCGAGATTTCATGAGTAGGTTCAAACTCGTCATGGCTAGGATTAGCGGGATTAGCGACAAAGCCGCCATCGACGCGTTAAGGAAATCGCTCTGGTATAAATTGAAATTCCGCAAGTGGATAACTCTCGAGAAACCGCGGACGATCCAGGATGCGCTCCATAAGGCCACTGACTTCATAACCATCGAAGAAGAGACTAAAATCCTGTGTGAGAAGCATAAGCCGACGAAAATATCCGCGAAGGATAAGGCGTCCGAGCAGAAGCCAAAAAAGAGGAATTCTCGTAACGAAAAATTCGTCCATCACGAGGGACATGATCTCCAAGGGGCGCATAACTACGCCATCAACTCCGGTTCGGAGCAAGGGCGAACTACGGGTAATACGTGGACGAGAAATTCGAATTACGACGAGAATTCCTTCTGCGGCCTCCACCACACTCGCGGGCATTCCACCGTGAACTACAAAGTTCTCGGCGCCAGACTTGCCGCAAAATTGGTCGCGGGAGAACTTTCCGAGATATCCAGTGTCAAGGATCTCATCCGCGATTCGGATCGCCTTCCGAAGAATGACAGGAACGCGCAAACGGAAACTCCGCCTCAGGGAAACCAGTCAGGCGAAAAACGCGGACGAAGACAAGACGAGAAGGGTAACGACGCTAACCGTCGAAAAATCAACATGATTATCGACGAATCGCAATACTACAACGACA